TCGCGGTGGTGGAATCCCTCCCGAGATTCTGCCAAATATTTGGTCTTACAGTTTCACCACTTTCTCTGATCTTGACTTGCAGAGCTCAGAGAATGGGAATATGGATGCCCTGAATGCCATGTCCTCAAGCAGTGGCCATTTGAGTAGCATCGCAGGACTCGGATACGGATTGCCGCTGAGTAGGGCATATGCTGAATACTTTGGTGGCAGTATCGCCGTACAGAGCCTCTGGGGGTGGGGGACGGACGTGTATCTGACTCTGCAAGGAGTTGGTAAGGTCGGTTGATGGACAATAGGATAATGTAGCGTCTTTGGGCTTCCCAATGCCCGCTGACAAGACTAGATAAAGCACCCGTAACTGGCATACACAGTAGATCACGTTGCAGATACTATTTACTTGAGATTGAACCTTCTATATAGCTATAAAATAACATTTACACCCTGCCACTGTCAGTACCTACTGGTATATCATGTCTAAAGCCTTGGGCCTGACGACCCTTGGAGCCAAAACAAATCGACAAACTCCGAGATATCCGTCCCATCGTCTTCAACAGCAGCCAGAATTCTAGCGATATGTGCATCCGAGAACATCAAACGCATGTTTCTCATGAATTTGTCCCGCACAGCAGCAGAAGTTTCGGGATTCCTGACATGGCCAATTGGATACTCTACCAGCACCTCTGGCAGCAGAGTGCCATCAAATAAACACACCTTCAGACCCGACCCAACACTCTTCTTCTCCAGATCTAGATAATCAGCTGTCAACCGATCATCTGGCACAACAACCACCCTCTCCCGCAAGCCCTCCAACTTCTCACTCTTCACCCAGCAACTCTCATCCAGATAATCTCCCACCTCAGGCACGCCCCCCTTCAGCAGCGTCAAAGCAACAACAAACTGCATACAATGGTCCCTCTCGGCCGCGTTCCCCAACGGCCCCCGTTTATTGATAATAAGATCCGCCGCCCTAGTCGTCCTTATCTCAATACTTTCCACATCACCCACACCATACCCCATCCCCAAAAGCCGTCCCCGCTGAACCAAAACCGCCTCAACAGCCGTAATCCCATGCCCCTCAACCGGCATAACCTTATACAAAACATTCCTAACCGTCCAATCGCCAAACTCCCTGATGAACTCGAACTCCCGGCCCCCAAAATCCCGCTGATAAAAACCCCACGGCACCGCAGTCAGCACAGAAGGAACACCAACTTGCCCAGCCCGAACCAGCAACGCCAAATGCACCGCCCGCATGCATGCACCGCCCGCCGCCCATCCTTTCCGGGGGACTGTGTTCTCCGCGCTGCGGTAGAGCCGGCTCGGATGGCCGTCCATCCAGACGTGCGAGATAGTAGCCATGGTTTGGGACTCGGTTTGGCCAAGGAGCCAGGAGACGACGGCCGCAGATGCGAGCTTGACGAGGATGACGTGGTCTGTGCCGTGGGCGTTGAAGGCGTTGCTTTGCGCGTAGATGCCTTGGATTTCGTACGCTTTGATGAGGGCCGTGAGGAGGGTGTGCATTGTCAAAGGAGGGCCTTTGTGGGTTGTTTTATTGGTTCGACAGAACCAGTCTGCTACGGACAGGATGGAGGCTAGGTTATCTGACGGAATCCGTCATCATCATCAAACAGGAACTCATCCACAACTCCTCAAACAAAGGAAAAGTAGAACGTGAGAAAAAAATACCAGAAGGATGTGCCCACTCCCTCCCCCCAAGCGCATCATTATGATCCAAATACCTTATCAGAACACCCAAATCGAACGCCCCCTTCACCGGATCCAATTGGTATCTCGTACCCGGCACCCTGAACCCATCGGGAACGATTGTGCCTGGGACGCACGGGCCAAGGAGTTTCTGCGCTTCGGTGCTTTTCGAGGCTGTCTCGATTGCGCAGCCTAGTGCGTCGAGAAGGGCAGTGCGGGCCGAGGTGTAAGCTGTTGGGTTGGTGATGGTGTGGTTGTAGAGGTAGGTTGATAGGGATTGGATTGGGGGGTCGTAGGGGTGTGTCATCTTTGTGGGAGTTTGGTTTGGGTGATATTGGGGATGTGTGTGTGGAAGAGAGTTGTAGTTGGGGAGGGTATGAGGATATGAGGGGACGGGGCATTTTTTGTGGTAGGATTTGGGTTGAGTTGGTTGTGTTACTTTGGGAAGTATATGGATGATAGAAATAAATGGACACAAGGGTTCCACTGGATGAAGGATATTATAAAAAGACAATGAGGATAAAAAGCGGAGCAAAAGAGAATGTAGTAACTATCTTGAATATATTAAACGAGCAAGTAAAAAGTGGAAATCTGTCCCATATCGACTGGACCATCACCGTATCACTCAGAGACCGCCTGCACCACTCAAGCTCAAGAGACTCGAAATAGGAGTTGCCCCCGGGAAGAAACTGGTGGGCATGGGTGGAATCGTAAAGGAAGTGGTGGGCGGAGGATTTGACGTAAAATCACCGGGCATACGCGTAGCGGAATAAGACCTGGGGTTATTCATGTCAACAAAGCTGCTAAGGCTTCAGGGGAGGGATATTGGACGTACGGCGTCGCAGTCACAGTAACGGCTGTAGTGTAGGTTGTTAGATCATCGGTATCTTTCGCTTCTTGTAGACAGGCACCGGTGCCGTACGCATTGGCACAGGACCAGTTGACGTAGTCTCCGTCCTCTGTCCACAAATTGACGTTGTCGAGGGTGATGTCGTAGCAAGGGACGTCCTCGTCACACTCAATTCGGATCGCCGGTCGGCTGTTAGCGACATTTTCGCCGTACCAGTTCTAAGGAAACGATGTCAGGACTCTGTTTTGGTGCTCACGATAGACATTCACTTACGCGGAAAGTCAGATTCTGAATTTGGACGCCTGTAGAGCCCACGTCCTTTCCCCAAGCCTCATTCACAGCGAGTGGGTAAGGGCCTCCGTGTACGATGACATTCTCCCAGACAATGTTCTTGACTATTCCATCGCCGTTGTGGGTCTTCAAATAACAGGCATCCGCCTGGTTCATGTAAAGGTTTCGGTAGTGAATATTGGTAATGTTGGTGCCGGTACCCAGAGAGCCAATGGCGGTTCCTCCGCTCAGATTGCAGTAGATGTTCTCGATGCGAAAGTCCGAGGCCGGCGATTTAACAGTTACACACTCATCGCCATTGGTAACCTCAATATCATGGACCCATACGTTCTGGCCCCATATATCGAATGCGTCCGTCATACCTAGGTCAGCGATTCCTCGAACAAGAAGATTGTAGATCTCCCCATTGGAAACGGTATCAAAGACGAAGTAATACGCAGGGGAATCAATCGCAGCAAAACCATGGATCGAGAAGTCACTGACATCCTGGAATCGGAAGAGTCGTTCACCGTAGTTCCCATCTTGAAGGTATTCGTACCCGTATCCTTGGACCGCGCCTTGGGAATTACCACTGAAGAACTCGCAGTCATGGCAGTCGCGTACCAGGATCAATTGGTAAGCGCCTTCATGACCGCGCGCTAAAACACCATCCAGCTGGAAGGCAGTGGATTCACCGTGCTTGAGTTCCAGATCCGTCGCAAGCGAATAGTTACCTGGGGGTACGTAAATGAGACCTCCGGAGGAGCAGTTACCCCAGGCATCTAGAATGGCCGGGCCAACGTCGGTTTTGCCATCTGCAACGGCACCATAGTCGGTGATATCACAGGTTTTATTCTTTGCTTTGGTCTGAAAGTCCACGAGAGGCCCGACAGACCCAGAAAGCTGAGCTGACACAAGAGTTGGTGCCCAGAGGGCCAGAGTGTAGAATAGTTTCATTTCCACTATAGAGAAAGCATTCGACTGTCCGGCAATAGACGAGACGAGGTACCAGGACGATATCCTTCATTTATATCTCCAAGATTCCACGGCCCCATGTCTGTTCTCCCGATATGGCACTATTTTGAGACTAGTCATCCTGCTGGGTCTACTGTACACATCGGCGGACAATCTAAGAGTTTGACAGACAGCTTCAAATATATTAGATAGATCCTAATTAGAAAAGATATCGGCAATCCATTCCTTCGGACGGTAATTTCGCCGAGTGTGGTGGGCTGAGCTTGATCGCAGTTCGCAAGTTATTCATCAGTCTGAAACAGGGGTAGCGGAGTTGGTTCTTCGCTTGCAGAGTGGACGACACTTTGAGTAGATCAATGCCTTTTCCTGATTAGAGGCATAGTAAGCTTGTGGGGTTTTGGGATAAATCAATTAAATGCAAAATAAAGAGTAGGGGCTCCAACTTAGCCTCTTCTTACCTTTTCGTGCCTTAGCACCGTACGGAGCAGTACTCCGTACGGTGGAGACAATTAGTATAATTAGAGACTCTTTACCGAAAGCTTAGCATTTTACTGTGTACACTTCGGAGTAACCCACGCAGGTTTTTAATAGCGCTCTACCCCGCCGTAGTACTGGATATGAGAGCAGTTCACTGGTGCAAATAAAGCTCCGTGTTTACACAAGTAGTGTTCGGGCTGTAGACTTTCCCATCAGTTAGACCAAACGAGGACCCCTGTCGGATGTCTTCCGCATCGATAGTCTACTTAGGTGTCAATAGGTCCACGAACCGCTGCTAGGACCTGTTGTTGGAAGGAACACGTTTTGGGGCCTCCTAGTCGATACTTTTATGACTAACTTGGAGTAAATGTAAGATAGTGATCCTCTTGATGTGCTTGAATAAAAGGTAGTGGATCGTATTTGTGGTCCCTTAGAACTAAACAGGCCTCGTCAGAGAACTCATCTTTGACCTGATCAAGCATCCAATACCACCAAAATGTGTCATTGGGGCTCGACTGCTGTGCATGGCCGTTGAAGTCTTGGAGACGGTTTTTGTTTTCTTTCTTTGTGTGAGTGTGTGAGTGTGTGAGATTAAAGCTATGTTTTCTTCGACATTATGTGTCGTGAAAGCTCCCAGAAGAGGTATGTCGAATTAATCTAATACAGAACTCATTATTCATATCACATCAGGTGCCGAATTTATATCCGAATAAAATCCAAGGTATCAAAACCCGCCAGCTCCTCGTACTCTCTGTACAGCCCCAACCACCCCTTTGGCCCAGCTGAAACGCCCTGGATTGACACCAATTGACCCGTCTGGGATCTTACCAGTGGAGGCGTCATGCCAGCATCCATCTTCCGGACTCACTGCACCATAAAGAGCTGTGTTCTGGTTTTGGTTGATCGTCTCAAGCCATGAACGGCAGATGATTGGGGAGTCAATTAGGACGTTAACTTCCTGGCTGTGGTAGAACGATTGAGTATCAAGGTTCCCATTCCCTAATTTCTGTTAGCCGAGGATCGAAGAGCTAAAATGACAAGAATCATACCTTGGATAGCTACTTTGCCGTCGATGATCATGAGTTTGATGTGACAGCTGCGACGCTTGAACTTATTATGGATCGGCTTTGTCTGGTCCTTACCCACATAGTTATATATACGTAGTCGTGAGCGTTCGTCCTGTTTCTCAAGGTAGCTATATAATCGATTAGAAACCATCTCATTCGTCCCGTTTTGGAAGGGAAGTAGTTGTCCAGCGTCGTTGTAGCCCAGACATAGGTAGCATGTAACAACGACCCCGCGACGGACAGCTCCCAGTAATGGCTCGAGGAGAGGCTCTGCATTCATATTCGGGGTCTGGATGAAAATGGAGTGTTCTGCATTTTGAATTGCCGAGAGAAAGGCGGCATTTTGAGGGGTATATATGCTGGTGTGGTTCGGGGCTAGAGATCGTAAGTATAGGAACTCATCAGATATCTTTAGAGTGGTGCATACCTCCCCAGGGCTCCCTGTTTACTAGGGCCATTGGACATGCTTCATGAGGTGGGGAGATGGTATACGGTATCATCGGAGTATTTTGATCAACGTCTGGAGCGTCACCGGTTGTATTCGGCTGCGTAGTTGTGTCTGTATGAACCATTAAACTACATTTTCATAAATGGGGAAGAACGTAAAAGATACATACTCAGGTGGCGAGTGACCGGAGCCGTTCTAGACTCGCCAGGCCTAGGCTTGAGGGTACCGTTGACGCGCCGTGCTTCATTCCTAATGCCAAGGTCATAGTGTTGATCTAATGTGGTATGCTCGGGCAAAGACAAGCCCTGGGCTTCCTCTTGGCGGCTTACGTCCATGAGCGAAAGGCTTGGAATCGGAGCACTCGCAGCGGGAGACGACAACATTGGAAAGGGCGTATTGAAGTGCTTTCCCCATGAGATCAATGCGGTGTCATAGAAAGCGTCCACAATTGGTCCTTCAAGCCTAACCATCATCTCTAGGTTGTCATTATCCTGTACGTTACTGCTTTGCAGCAGGGCGATCCTCCGATCAATAACCATGAACTTAGCATGGAACGTTCCGAATATAGGACGGTGGTAATTGACAACCTGCAGATCGATGTTGGGAATTTCCTCAGCTGGAGGGAGTTGAACTTTCTCACTTGTGTATTTCTTTTCTGGCACTTCTAAGCGATTCTCATAGGCTTGTCGAGGATCACCGCGGTCATAGATCATCTTTACCACTACCTTAGTGCCGCGTTCACCGGCTCGGTTTGACAACTCGCGGAAGGCGTTGGTCACCAGGGTCGAAGCGTCGGAATAGATCCAGAAGTTTGTCCCGAGAAATACTTCGGTCTCAGCCCGTGCGATACAATTAGCCATATGTCGGCACAAGTCCGGCAACGGAGCCACAATGGTTAAAGGTGCGATCCCATGACTACCCATTAATGGCGGAGAGACAACCCCCGCCATTGGGTTCCTTTCTAAGGTGCACAGTGCGTCGTGATATATCTATATCACGGTCAGGTACTGTGTGCTTCATTCATAACTAAAGCACTCGAACTGACCTTGAGGAATAGATTGCTCGGTTTCGTTGGACCCCAATTGCCACACTCAAGAGCCTTTTGTAGACAGTCATGGCCATCTACGCCGTCCTCCACCTCTGACGCGTCCTCTTTGGCATGATCGTTGCTATAAAGTTTGTGAAACACCTTGGTTGGGGCTTGATTTGGATCTCGTGCAAGTTCGGAGCTCACAGTTTTGCTGCTGTGACATAGCTGATAAACTCTTTCTGGAAGCATGTCGGCGCAGGTACGATTGAGACTCTTAGGTTGGCGGGTGAACCAGATTATTATCGAAGTCAAGCAAATAGAAAACAGAGTACTGGACACTTTGACCAGCGACCCAACCATGGATTGGCCAAGAAGACCAACTGATATACGCTCTCCAGCCATGCTCTTCAGCAATGACGTAGACTTAGCCCCATAAGGCTGAGGGGAGGGGAGTGTTTGATGCTTGTGGTACGGGTTCCTATGAAGAGGGAGTGGAGACAGGCAGCTGAATGATAAGCATGTTCAATGGGTATAAATTAATATATTTCCAATGCAAGCTGCTGAACCTTTGTGACAGATGACGCCAGTCTTGTCGAGTGAGAAGCATGCGAATGTGGTTGCCTGAGGACCGACGTCATCGGTGCCTGGGGGACCACGAGAACTTGATTTGGACATTAGGGCAACGTTAACATCCAAGGGGATGGCTTTGTGAGGTCTAGAATTCCTTCGTTACTTGTTAGAAGCCTGATATTGACAGGGCCTATATTCTTTGCCAAGAAAACAATTCTGCAGGTACACATGGGGGTCATAAATTCAGGCGTATAATATATTTATATAAATTTCGCCCCATACCAGTTTGGCCTGTCCTTCGGAACCTTTGCGTGAACCTCCGATGGCACGACCAAAAAGGTTAAGGCAATGCGACAGCCAATGTACCAACCCCGCATCGGAAATGTTGCGATGCTGCAATGCTGCCGTGCTTGCTTGAAGCTTGTCCCGGTTATTCTTCACCATCGGTGTGAAGTCCGAAGGCGGGGATTGTACCAACCGTTTCTAGCCAGGAATATTTGTAAGCTCCACCCTAATAGCTCTAGTAGGAAGCTGTATTCTGATTACCACTACATGATCTATATCGTTTGATCAGTAGAATCACATAATAAAAAAAATCTTTTGATATTTCAAAGCTTTTCGAGCACTATATAAAACTCTATCATAAAATAGATTCTCATTAATAATTACATGACGCGGGCCCTAGATCTATAGTTAACCTGGTCAGGAAATTACCGTAGCGGGTTCCCCATACTACGTGCTCTAATCCATATCTATATGTTTCAAACTATGCCGAAAGATCAGATTGTAGATAATTCTGAATCTACAGTTCAGAAGCTCTGGATAGCACCCCTATAGTATACCGCCGTTACACTCGTCTGGACTTCATAGGTAGAGCAACACTGCGTACCTTGCTTGGAACCATATCTGAGCGTATACAAGATGTTTTGAAATATATAATGTATCATACGGTATTTATAAATAACTAGCGCATCCTTTTGGACCGAATCCGACCGATCAGCCAGCGTGGAGAAATGGTACTGTTGCTGGAAGTACGTTTCCTCTCCTATAAAAAGCAGCCCATCTTCAACTTCAACGAGCATCTGAAGTATTGTACACCTCTATCTTCTCTTCCCCTTGTATCTTATTTGCACAGAGTCTACTCTTGTGTAGTGTCGATACAATCATGTGTGTATTTCCAGTCAATGTCACTTCGCCTTGAGATTAGTTGACTATAGTATTGCATTGATAACTAACCTACAATCGCAAGGGTCTATACTGCGTCTTTTGCCTTTTTCGAGGCTCTGTGGGAGGTACGAACTTGACGCCCCCAAACCTCACTATCTCATACTGACTAAATCTCTTAGGCTGGGGTCACTCATGTCTTCGCCAATCTAGGGTCCGATCATCCCTCCATCTTGGAGGCCATGGTGAAGGGCCAGAAAGAGAAGCCCGATGAATTCCCCAAAGTTATTACGTGTCCTAACGAGGTGAGTAAAGAAGCTTACAAATAGCATCGAGTTGCCCCTCAGTTACTTTGGGCTTCAGGAATCCCCATCTCTGGCTAACCCCACATTTACCCCACTCCATAGATGGTAGCCCTTTCCATGGCAGATGGCTACGCTCGATTGACCGGCAAACCGCAATGCGTTATTGTTCATGTTGATGTGGGCACACAAGGATTAGCAGCAGCCGTACATAATGCCTCCTGTGGACGCGCCCCAGTCTTGATCTTTGCTGGCCTCTCTCCCTTCACCATCGAAGGGGAGATGCGCGGCTCTCGTACCGAGTACATTCACTGGATTCAAGATGTTCCGGATCAGAAGCAGATTGTTTCTCAATACTGTCGCTATTCTGGAGAGATCCGTTCTGGGAAAAATGTGAAGCAAATTGTCAATCGCGCCCTTCAATTTGCGATGAGTGATCCCAAGGGCCCAGTATACTTGGCTGGTGCTCGTGAGGTAATGGAAGAGGAGATCGAGCCATATAAAGTCAACCAAAGTGTTTGGGGTGCTGTCGCACCGTCTGCATTGCCAGCTGAGGGGGTTGAGCTGATCGCATCGGAACTCGCTGCCGCCAAGGAGCCTCTAGTGATTGTGGGTTATTCCGGTCGTGAGACCAGGGGAGTGGAGGAGCTGGTTAAACTCGCAGACACCTTCAAGGGAGTCCGAGTATTGGACACCGGTGGATGTGACATGTGCTTCCCTAGTGACCACCCAGCATGGCTGGGGCTGCGATATGGCATCCACGAGGCAATCAAAACGGCAGATGTTATCCTTGTTGCCGACTGTGATGTGCCATGGGTTCCGACCCAGTGCAAACCGTCTGATTCCGCTAAGATCATCCATGTAGATGTTGATCCGCTCAAACAGCAAATGCCGGTCTTTTATCTCCCTTCAATGGCTACGTATCGTGCAGAATCGGCAACGGCATTTAGACAGATCAATGAGTACGTTGCCGCTAACAACTCACTAACACAGGCGCTGAACTCCGAAGAACAAACATCTCTTGGTAAGCGTCGTGAGGAGGGATATAAGCAGATCCGACAAGGGATAACAGACCTTGCTGTTGTACCATCGGGAGGTGGTAACACGGATCTCAACGTGTCTTACATGATCAGCCAGGTTCGGGAGACTTGCCCGGCAGACACTATCTGGGCTATCGAGGCTGTAACCCTCACCCCATTTGTAGCTGACCAAATCGCTGCCACCTTGCCCAAGTCATGGATCAACTGTGGTGGCGGTGGACTTGGTTGGTCCGGTGGGGGTGCTCTCGGTATCAAGTTGGCCACTGATCATGAAAGCGGCGGTACGAACAAGGGCAAATTTGTCTGCCAGATTGTGGGCGATGGCACGTACCTCTTTTCCGTGCCGGGTTCCGTCTACTGGATCTCAAGACGCTATAACATCCCTATTCTTACTATTGTCCTGAACAACAAGGGCTGGAACGCTCCCAGGCGGAGTATGCTTCTCGTTCATCCCGAGGGTGACGGCTCGCGCGCGACTAACGAGGACCTCAACATCTCATTTGCCCCTACCCCTGATTACCCAGGCATTGCGAAGGCTGCTGCGGGAGGCGAGATTTGGGCTGGCACTGCAGCTACTGTTTCTGAGCTTGCCAAGTTGCTACCCGAGGCTATCAAAACTGTACAGAATGGAACCACCGCTGTCTTGGAGGTTCAGTTAGACGGTACAGTCGGCAAACATGTCAACAAGAACTGATACTTCCCCTTGGGATGAAACAGGGGAAAGCGGGATATACCATTACTCGCTTTTGCTTCCTATCTTTTGTTAATTACAGAATTAGAGTAGAAACCCAATATCTAATTCTAGACTCACATATAGAAATTCTGTTTCTACTTTTTAGTAGTAAGAGGTATACAGTGCCATCATATATATTGCTAATTAGGGATCCATTGAACGACCTAGAACAACAATACGCTTCATAAATCAGAATAAGCATTATCCAATCTCGAAAATCTCTGTAGAAGAGTCAGATTGGCTCTCGCATAAAAAGTCCGTGATAGACGGGCCCAAGTACAACCAAACGCATGTAAAAGTGCACCAATAATCCAGCCGCGCATATTGCTACGCGAGCTCAACTGAAGCTAGGCGCCTTTCCAGAAAATCGAAGATAACTTGATGCAACCTGAAGAAGGAACCTTGATGGCAATGCGTGTCGCCACCTTCATCAGCTCCGAGACTGACGAACTCATACTCGCATTTCAAGTGGTTGCAAAGCAACTCCGGCTGACCTTTTAGGAAGTGGTCATTTTCTGCGTCGAGAACCAGGCACGGACTCACAATCTTCTGAGCCAGGCCTTCTAGTGTATACAGATTGACTGTACGCATCAGCTCCGCCTCTGATGCCACCCCGAAAGTCCATTTACCGTTCCTCAGGGCCCACCGAACACCCGTATCTAGAGACTGCGCAAAGCCGAAAATGAAATTGGATACCCCATCATATTCTTTTTGGACAAGTGTTTGCACAAAGGATGGCTGGTTAGCTCGGAATGAAGACCCAAAGTCATATACTCCATCATCCAAGACAATGGCTTGGGCTCGATGTTCCTGCGTGGCTGCTCGTGCCACCAGGTATCCGCCCATGCTCCAGCCGAAAATTGCTATGGCATTGGGATCGACGTCCTTGTGGGTCAAAGCAAAGTCAACCACGGGAGTTAACACCTTCTCCCAGTCAGGACGGAAGTAGAGGTGCTGTCGTCGTACAGCTGCACCTTGACCGGGCCCATCGAAGGCGAGAAAGTTGTATCCTCTTGCTAGAGCTGCAGCTCCAATTGCAAACCAGGCTTCGCTCGCAGTTGAGTCATAGCCACCATTGAAGATAATGGTGCGTCGTGGATTGGCTGTACCCGTTGGGCTGACAAAATATCCAGGGAGTGTTGTCCCTTGGTAGGGAATCTTGATCGATTCATAGGCATATGTAGACAGCTTCATTGCCTCATCAAAGGCCTCCTCCGATCTTTCAAACACAATCTGTGCCATTTCATCGTTGTCATAGTTATCGCGACGGAAGAACTCAGCGGTTCTATAGTAATTTGAGGCGCGTAGATATCCCTCATAGGCACTGACTGTGTTGTTCACCGATGCTGATTGTGAGGCGTTGGAAAATGCTCGGTCGGCTGCCCTTTTCCACTCGACCAGCCAGTCATCTTCGTTTCCTGCTCGGATTTTGGAGATAAT